AGGTTAGTGCTGCGATTACATTTGCATTCTAATTAGGATAAATTATGACAATTGTTATGCATTTTTTGCTTTAAAATGCAAATTAGGGTAAATGTATTGACAAAATTTTTTAAAAATTTAAAAAATTTAATTATTTTATTTAAAAACAGTGAAAAACAAAATTTTATTTCGAATAAAAATTTTATATAAGAATTGTGAATTGTGTAAGAGAAAAATTTGATAATTTTTTCTTTAATTTGTTTTTCTTCTATATCTTAAACTTTATTTTCTTTATAAAACAAAATAATATGGTTAAAAATATTTATTTACACCCTAGAAAGCAATTAACTTCATAAAAAGTAGAAATTAACACCAATCTAATCATAAATCGATTAAAAATTAATTAAAATCTTCCTGTTCAAAGAAAACGAATTTTCGTTTCGCCAAACAACAGAAATTGAATTTACAAGACTAAACATGACATGCACTCAATATTTCCACCTAAATATGCATCTATTGTTTATTCTTGCATGACATTTTACATAAATTATTACGAAATATTCGAATTGATCATTTTCCCATTCGAAAATCAACTATATTCTACATAGTTTGTAACACATGAATAAAATGAAGACAAATATTCAAATTAATATTGAATTGAATAATTTAATTTCCCAACGATATTTCTGTACATTGTTTAAACTCAATATACGAGGAATATTGTAAAACAATTAAGCAAACATGTTAAATGCATAAAAGTTACACGGTGACATCAATTTAAAATATTTAAATCAAACATACGTTTTCAATTCCACATTTCCATCTATTGATCATTATACGAATAACACAATGTTTACTAATTTCAACTTTGTGGGAGTGTGCATATGTGTGTGAGTCATTTCAATTGCAATATTTCATATTATCATTTTGCTTGTTTACTGTGCAATTATTTGTGGACACATTCAATGTTTAATGCATTTGTTGTCACAACTACTGCGACATAATTTATCTAGATGTTAGCGGATGATTACTCACGGGTGTGCTTCATCACTAGGAAAAAATTGGAATATAAATTATACGTGTTTCATTTTCTAGGTGTAATAAAACGCCAATGTGAATTTTTGTTGGAAAATAGTAATTTTACTAACGTCATAAAATGTTTTATTATCTAAAACTAAGACATTATTACCGAGATATGCATTAAAAGTAATTGTTTTTAAAATCAAAGAGAAAATTTCATTTTCTACATTCAGCTTTAATGCGCCACTTTTTTTACGGTTTTGAGGCACAAAAGTGGTAATTTAATCACAAACAGCAAAAGCCGTAGTTAAAATACTTTAATCATGGGGTGAAACTTGCGCATGTGCAGTTGCGTAAAGAATTCAAGTTAATGGTCGAAATATTTTACTTTGAGGAACCAAATTTATTGCAAATAACAAAACTGGACAAACTTTAGGCAATTACATAATTTATGACAACATTTTTTTAAAGAAAAACTGAAATATTTACTGTGACAACCAGTATAAAATAAGTTCTTATTTTTTATTTTCATTTCCTTCCTCCAAAATAAAAAATTCAAATTTTTTGTAGGTGGGTAAAAACATTTGTAGTCATTTGGTGTCATCTTCAGCACGCACACGACATTTTACATTCGTTTATCCTACAAAGCAGATCTATTCAACGTGCGCCACTGCAAACAGGCAATTTTTATTAAATTTTATTCGATACATCTCGCCGCCAGTCTAACCTCCGCCAACACGTGCGCGTAAATATTTCGCTCACATCTTGCCTTCATGAAGCACTCTGCATTGCACCGAATTGACGCAGGACGCGGCCACCTCACCCACACATGAAATGCCAACGTGGCGTGAATATTTATGCCGCATATTTATATTTCGTGTGTTTACGTTTTCGTCTCGCGCATCCCCCGTCGTAATTTGTGATACGATGTCATCGCAAATATGCGCCCGACATAATTGCCACCAACCCGGAAGCATAACACAACAGAAAAAAAAACAGCAAACAAATGGCAAGAATAAAACCAAAACAAAAAAAAAAGAATGAAATAAAAGTTTGCCGCATGCTCTCGGATCACTTCTGTCCGCGCGCACGAGTGTTGCACGCTTTACAAATTAACAACGACTTTTCGCGCCCGGTGCCAGTCTCATCTGCCGTCTGCAAGTTGTTTAATTAAAAAGTTCGATGTACTGCGCCAGCAGTGACTCGTTAAGCACATTCACGCGGTGGCGTTCTTTGCTTCCGACGCTTCCGGTTTATTGGGTGCTCCAACCCTTGCTCTTATTGCAAAAGATAAAAAATAAAACTATCAAGTTGTCAGGAATAACACTCACATTTCAACACAGCAAAAAACAACTACTTTCATCCTAGTAATTAGAAATTAAATTTTAACTGCAATAATTTCACTTCAAATAGAATAAAATTAATCAGAAACCTTTTGAAATTTAAATCAGACGTATAATAATTTAATAGAATTTATGTAAATGCTTGGAAAGTAAATGAAATATTAATAATATGAAAGCAGAAGGAAAAAATTCGCATAATTTTAATATCACATTAAAATGTGAAATGAGAAATGAGAAACTAGATGCTTTTTATTAAATTACATTTATCGTAACGTTTTTGATGTTTACTGGCGTTTTTCGGCATCAAAAGCGGAAACTACGAATGGTATTACATTTGTGGATGGAATTTAAGTGCCTCCACTTTTATTGCCACTAAAATCGTAATTAAAACGACATGAATTACCCGTTTACAAATATCGGTGGGAAGCATTTATAGATCAATGTTAAATATAGACATTTTATCATTTTATTGCTTATTTAGGCGTTTTATTATGCAATTAATAAATAATATTAAATTTAAATATATTTGATTTAGAAGGTTAATTTAAATTCAAGTTAATAACCGTTAAACGTACAAAATAAATTAATTTGAAATCATTTCCATTAATTAATTTATAGTGAATTTATTTAGCTTTAATTTGACATAAAAATAAAGTTTCTATGATAATTATTAACAAAGTTATCTTCATTTTAATGATTTAGTGTTTTCACGCTGTCAAAACGACAATTCCAACCTCAATTATTCTCTCATGTGGGGTTATGTTGCTTTGTTAAACTAACCGTACTCAAAACAATTGTATATTAACACCTATATTCAAGCAATCACTCAATCACTCAATCATTCGTATCATTTTACTCTTCAACAAAAAAAGAAGGCAAAAAAAAATGAATAAAATCAATTTGCCCCAATTCCAATTCGGCGATAACCACTTTATATGCCGTATACGTCAGAGCCTCTTAGCGCGATATGGCATCGCCGCAAATTGAATCGAATATTTGAGCAGAAATTGCGAAAATAGTCGTCCCCGCTGCGGATTTGAATAATTGAAAATAGGCCCGCTGCGCCGCCCCAAACGATCGCACGTTAAATTCATGATATTATTAGGTCCTAATGTCTGCACCGCGATGCATTATCAAATAAATAATGCGAATAATACAAGCGTTTCCACGATTATTGCATTAATACACATACGGGCATTATTATCGATTTGAAAGCCTTGTAATATTCACAAACGAGTGCTCATATGAAAGATGTAAATTATTAACCACGAAACCTGGTTGCGCAGAAAATCGAGTTGTGGAAAAGTTTTCAAATGTGAACAAGCACAATATATTTACCATTGGCACATTAAATATTAAACACATAATAATCGAGTGCAAAAGAGTGGAAAGCGGAGCAGTAGGTTTTGGAAGTGAAATTATTTAGAGCTTTCCGGATGGAAATTCGCGGCGATTTATGATTATTCGAATAAATTTTGGGGGTAGTTATTGAACTTTATGTGCAACTAATGGAACAGTCTCAGATCAATGCTTAGGTATGCTGGAATGATCATCGTGGTTAGGGGTAATAAGTTTATACCAACCCCAACAAGCATAACAAGTTATGGATTGCATTAATTCGGCCAAAATCAATGAGAATAAATTGGAACTATAAGTAGGATTTATTGGTTTCTATGTTTTCATATGTAGAGAGAGCAATAAGGGCTAAATTTTGATTTTGTGGAATTAAAATTAAAGAAAAAAATAACGCAATTTTATGATTTTTTAAGTTTTTTGCAAATTTACGAAAAAATTTCTTATTTTTGTGCATTTTTAGTACTTATCCCTATATTTTTACTACAACATGATAGATCTTGAAAATAGCTAACGACTGATACTTAAACAAATTTTGTAACTTTTTACAATCAAAGGTTACATCAAAAAAAGTTCCATGAAATTCGTTAAAAGCGACTTAAAAATTTCGTTGTTTTCCGACGCGTAAAAAGTAGTACAATACTTTTAAAACAACTTTTTTTTACTCTTCAGTTATATAAAAGTTTTATTTTCATCTGTAAACAAATGGAAAAATAACAAATATTTGCTTAACCGTCAACTTGAACAAAAAAAATTAAGCAAATTTTTGCTTTTTACACTCCGAAAACAAACAAAAAAACATTCTTTAACACTAAATATTTTAACTATAACAATTTAAAATAAATGTTTTATACATATATTCAATAGATTATAACATTTACTTACAATTAACACTTAAACAAACTTTGTAACTCCCTCCAATCAAAAGTTAATTCAAATAAACTTTGGCAAAATTGTCCAAAAACGACGTCAAAATTGAGCAGTTTCCTACCACGCAAAGTATTGCAGTACAAATACAACATTTCGAGTTCTTTGATTCTTTAGCTTACTAAAAGTTGCTACTCTAAATGTATACAAATACAAGCAGTACCAAATATTTGCAAAACATTCGACGTAAACAAACAGTTTCCTTAAGCTACTTGACTTTCTGTTGACTCTTAAATTCAACGTCATGAGTTCATACACAATTCAGATAGTAATGAACTATTCTTCCCTGTTATTACCTAAGTAACATATAAAAATACTCGTACACCAAAATGACAATAGAATGAAGGTGCGGTTGGAAATGAAGAAATCAAAACTCACTTGTGCCGTAGTGATTGTTATGATTCGCGCCGCCGGTGGCCGTCTGCTGGGCAGTCTTCTCTCTGGGCATCTCGTCGTCCGATTTCATTACGACCTCGTTGTCACAGTCCATTGGCTCGTCGAAGCGTCCGCACTCCACCACAACTTATAACGCACACAACAATTGATTGGCACACAACAAGGGCACCGCGGGTTTATTTCGATACGCGGGCGGCGGCGCGCAATCAACGCCGTTATTGTTGCTCGCAGCGATTCCCGGACGCGCGTTATTGCCTTTCTTATAAATTTCACTCGGCAAACGCGAAATGGTGTGTTTGTCTTCGGATTTACGGTTTGAGTAAGTCAAGACTTAAACTGTTGCCATCTTCGTTTGCTCAGGACATAATAACCTGCAACAAACAAGCACAAAATGGAAGAATTTAATTTTGCACAAGTATTATATTACAAAGTAGTATCTCAAGTGCACTAAGCTTTTAGTTACATATTTGTAGAGACTTTAAATAATTTATGTCATGTTGATATTATATACTAAGTTATTTTGCTTATGAGTAAAGAATTTACAGTTTTAAGAAACAAAGAGTTGTAATTTAATCACGGAAGGCCAAAGTCGTGACTAAAGAACTTTAGTCACAGCGTTACATTTTCACGGGGTTACATTTTCCAGTAATGTGCGAACAAATTTCGAAGTTTTAAAATACAAAAGCATAAACGTGGTTAAAGTGGCGTTTAGCGCACTTGATATTTAAAATATTATATTAAAGCTGAAATATTACCTTTCGAGCCAAGTTATGTTGTTATTATTAAAAATACGTGACTAAAACGCAATCATTAAAACGCTTTAAATCAGGAAAATTTACGATTGCACTTTACGATTCTAATATGCAACGTGTTTTCACCGCGGTTGGCAGGGAAAACACGTTTTGTATACGAGGCACCAGTCGGAAGAATGGCGCATAGTGTGGCAGCGCGAAAGAAACTCACAAGAGTCGTTCTATTTGAGGCGATTTTCCACTGAACTAATTTTGAAAGTTTTCCATTTTCTTGAGCTCTTCCAAGCAACTTTGTTTCCGCACTTCGCGCTAGCTGTTTGGAACTATATTGCTAACTTTGCTTCTTCTTGAATCTTTCGCAAAATGTCCAGTTTAGCGATTGCCATTGGATACAAAGTACCAAAAGTTACAAGACTGAGAATTTCAATTTTCCACGAAATTCTACGCGGAAAACATTGCAAATTCGTGGAAATTATGAAAATTATTATGTTTACGAAGCGAATAAATTGATTTTTGGCGATAACATATAATATTTTAACAGGTTGAATGTATGAATATTACAAAACATAAATAGAAATACGTCGGCAGGGTAAAGTTTTAATTATATACGTTCTCGGAACAGCGGCTGGAGGTTTTCGCAGGCGCCGCCGCCGCCGCCGCGACTAACTACAGGTGAGTAATTAAAACGCGCGGCATTTTCTACGTGCAAGAGTCGTAAAGTGGAAAATGTGTCAAAATATAAATCTTTGGACATAATAGTAAAATGTTATGCCCAGTCTCGCGTAACAAGCAACTCGCTGCGCCGCGTTGGCGTGTAATAGAATTTTTATGCACGTGTAACATTTAAGTTCTGTTTTATTAATGCACCGTTTCTGTTATTGTCGACCTCACGGCGTTACCATTGTCGCAAACAACGCACTACGAAACACAAAACACGAAAAAATAAACGCATTTCACATTTTCGGTACAATTGCTAACAAATGCGTGAAAACTCTTTGTAACAACTCGACTGCGTATGGAAAACAAATTTTCACGCGCCGTCGCATCACAAAAGTGTGAAATAAATACAATGTTTCATTAAAATATAATAATGTGAATACTTGGTTGTATAGTATGACTAACGCCATCTATCTAGGTCTGTTTAAAGTGTGTTAGGCAATAAACTAGGTTAAGTTTGCTTTGCCTAGTGATGCTCGTAAACTAAGACGAAAGTATCAATTGACACGTTGCGGTAGAATCGTGACACCTTCATTAATACGAGAATAAGCGCGTGCTTCCTGTCAACAGGACTGAAACGCCGGCGCAGAGTACAAATCCTGGTCGCTCTGGGCCCAAAATCCGTCGATAATTGAGTTTCCATTCGAGCAAACAAGAAATTCAACGCTATGCTAATACACTCGACATAAAACAAATAATTTCACTCATTCTCTACTTCAGATATTTTTATCTTTCCTAACAAGCGAAAGGAAAACAAATTAAATTTAGCATCCTGCTATCCCAGCTCGTGGTTTAGTGCCGCTAATGCCTTCTTGCAGACACACTCTGATGGCGTGATTAATGTTTAACTCATTTGCTCGTTTCTTGTCCTCTGAAGAAGCTCAACTTGCAGATACTGCAGTAGGAAAACCTCATACTTTAGTGAGTTGCTGCAGATTGCTTGTGGGAACTGCTGCCAGTGCTATTATTTAAGTTGCATGAAACATTGAGGCTTTGAGGAGAATGGTAAATGCAATTTCCAGTTGAGATTTGAGGCGGAATTGCTCCTGAGGTGATATTATACACAACACGAGAAATATCGAGGCATTTTTTTGGAAACGTTTATTTTGACTTTCAGAGTGCGTTTGGCAGTGAAAAGAAAAATAATAAATAGTTGTCAGCATGTCATTCATCGTAGACTACAAGAAATGTGATTTTTTTTTAGAGAAATAGCTAAAAAATAAAGGAAAAAAGGCAAAAGTTATTTTTATGATATTTTGAATGAAAGGCAAAAGATTTTAGTTCTTTTTATGCATAGTTTCATTTTTATTTTAGTTACAGACAGTTTGAATATATTTTCGATTATATTGGTGTTTATTGTTTGTTTGTTCACGAATTGATTACTCAACAGATTTTAATGAGTTTTGGCATAGAGATAGATTAAACCATGGAAAAGGACATAGACTACTTTTTATAAAAAAAAATTTACTTTAAAACCATAAAATCAAGGCTCAAATATTTAAATAATAAATAGTTGTCTGTTTCTAATACTTCTTCCGACAGAATAGCAAAAAAAAATCAAAAGGAAAATATAATAGTTATTTTAATGTTGCTTTAAATGAAAGATAATTTCCTGTTGACGGCAATTATGATTTTATACGATTGTCATCATTCAAATAAAGATAAAATATGCATTCCTGAAGCGACTAATGCATTCCGACGTATGGTGTTAAATCATATTAAACATAAATTGGATTCTTGGCGCTTTTTCAAATGGGCAGTAAATAAGTGATTCGGTTACACCATTACGCGCGCATGTGTTGCGTCTGGTGCCTCCTGCTGCGTCTCTTCACATCTGATAGGTGTGTGCACGCGCGAGTACATTAATGTCGCGCGTTTCAGGAAGTCATGTTTCGTTGCGGCCAGAAATAGCGCCGGGGCAATCCGAATGCACGAATGCGAGACGAATGATTTTTGGCGGCGTGTGCACGATCGGTGAGTTTCGCCGATATATTGTTACTAATTTTCGCACAACGCTGGCAAACGAGCTGAACGTCCCCGCGAAAAACCCAGCTTGACGATGATTAATTAGACGTCTCACGTGAAGGACGTGCGGTATGAGAAAACATTCGTATGCTTGCATTTGCACCTGAGTCACATCTCAAAATTATTTCAAAATATTTTACTTTAATTTACAATTTTTTTTTATTTTTCAAAAAATTAAAATGAAAGCAAGTCTGAATTTTACGAGACAGTAACACATGTTTTCTATTTTCGGTCCATCAACGCAATCCACTAAAACTCCGACTAAGACTGATGATGTAAGTATCTCCAATGATCATTTATTTATACATTCATCATCATTCAAGCCTTTAAGTAAAAGTGAGCACTAAATAAAACGATGAAACTTAATTCACTTACATCAGCACGTTATCCCGTATACTAACTATAGTGAATTAAATGTACGCAACTGAATTCACCTCAAGGCCTCAGGCAAATTGTGTGCATATATGTATATGTGTTGGAAATGCTTTCATTAGGGGCCCAAATTGCTTCGCGAGTGGTGTCCGTGCATTTATTTGCATTCTCATCAGTTCTAGCGTTGTGTGAGCGCGATTCTATTCAATAGATGTGCTCCATTTTGGGACGACGGTGCGAGTCCTTTCTCTGTTTTATTCCGCGTGTGTCATTTGCAGTGGTGAAAGAGGTGTTGCTTTTGCTTGTCGCATACGAATGATTAAGCTGGTATGAATAAAAGCACATCGGGTATAAATATTCTTGTCTTTTGTGTAAAAGTAGAGTAGAAATTTTGAAATCGTGGAATAAAATTATAGTTTTGGTATTTGTTAGTTGAAAATTATAAAATTTTGTATTTTTATCAATAAATATTGTTTTAAATTGATTATTATAAATAAAAAGTTCAATTTTTAGTTTTTGTAAAGTGAACGTGTCGAATATTTTCAATAAATTGTTGTTTTACTCCAAAAAAGATTTATTTTTACGAAGAAAAAGATATTTTTGCAAAAAAATTTATTTTTTTAAATTTCTTGACAAATTTTGAAGTTTTTTTCAATTTTTATACTAGTATTATATTATCGGGTTTAAATTGTCTTTTTTTCAATTTTACAAACAAAAAAATCTTTAAAATCTAGCAAATTCCAGTTATAATCTAACATAACCTCACTTATACACTACATAACCAAAATTAAGATAATTTTAAACCCACTAAACAAATAACAAAGTGTTTGCCTAAAACCAAAACTTCTTAAGAAGATATTCTACTCCACCTAGTTTCTCCTTTCCTCCGTTCGTATTTAATTTCCATCCACGTGAATTTATCCTACACATGTTCCCCCCATTCACCCCTCTGTGCAACACATCGTCGCGTACGAGTTTTTGACATGGAGAGTGAGTAAGTGTGCGGGATTATTCGCATTCCCGACGAATTCCTCCGCCCGTCGTGTGTATCCGCCCCGAAGAGACTAATTAGTCCGCGGAATTAATGTGTGCGTGCGAGTCAGTGACACCCACGACACAAAACCACTCTTGCACATTACCCACAATGTACTCCACAGCACCACACCACGTCGGATATGTTGAAAATTGCAGAAATGTCGTGATTAATCTATGCCAAGATACCAAACAACGATACCTAGCTACAGCCCGAAACTACGAGTACGAGTAAGTCTGTATCGTGATTACCTCTAGTATTGTTCCAGTCGAACAAAAATATGGTCACGACGGGAGTCATAGACATAGCGAATGCAAACGATTGTCCCTCGGGCCGTTGGTTTTAACTGGGCAATTTTACATATTTTCCGCGCACAAGTGGAGCTGAAATGCAATTCGTTTATCTGGAATAAACAAAATCCGAATTTCTCCGTTTCGAAATTTGTGTGCGATTCGCGAAATTGCCGCGTGCA